GCCCCCTTTAACATAAAAAAAAAAAAAAAAAAAAAAAAAATATAGAAGATTACAGTTTTTTTCCGAACCCTCACATATATTTTTATAGAATATACATTAATTTTGCCTAGATATTCAAACTTCTACTTGCAACGGAATTGTTAAATAACGATCATTAAAATAAAATATTGCCGATATGTTTTCTTTTAACAAGAAAAATCTAAGGAACTACTTATTTTTTATTGTTTATTGGTTTACTATTGTATTGTATGTCAATAGGATAATCGTATAATTATAAAAACGATTGTTTATTACTTAAGAGCATGAAAACTAAACTAAACCGTTCTTAAAAAAAAAACGAAACAAAATAATATTGGACATATTAATACGACTCCTATAAAATGCCTTATTAAATATAAACACCTTCTAAATTATGTATACAGTATGTTATGAGTAACATTTAGTTGATTACGAGTATGTTTTATTAGAGTTTGTTGGAAATAACAATTTTGTCTCACAAACGATCCTACGAGTATCAAGCTTATTACGAGCAAAATATGTTTAGTAAACACAAACATAATTAGGTGAAGGATTCATGTGTGTATATTTTTCTTATAGTATGGATACGGATTATAACTAAAATATAAAAATTTGCAAATTAATTTTTAGCAACGGCTGTGTTATTCAAAATATTAGAATTAAATAATTATTTGAAATATTGCTATTAAATAAAAAATAATTGCTTTTTATGTACCCCTGTACATAAAAAGCAATGATTTTCCAAATACCATAAGACGACTGTAGTAAAAATTGTACTATTTCAGTGTGTGATATTTAACATGTGACACGTACATTTCTTTTAAAGGATGATATGATGTAATAACCTAAATATTAATACATTTTTAATCCTGTGATATTCAAATAAACTTCTATTTATCCAGTCCCAGACAAGTCCTCTTGATGTTTTATCACTTTTAAGGTATCGTATTCATAGAGAAAACTACACTGTTTTTCTGGTTCAGAAACAAAGATAATGGAAATTTTCATACATAATTCATTTTTGTTACAGCTATAACAATAAACACTAAAAATAGAAAAAAGAAATATAAGCAGCTCTCATATAAGAACCGTGATTTTCGTCATTTCTATAGATATATTGTTATCGGAGTCTACCTAGCACTTAAACGGTTTTTTAGGACTTCTGAGAAGCTCTAATTATATCTAGGTATTCGAACAATGAATGTTTTTGTAAGATGTTTTGATGTTCAAGTTCTTTTGTAAAAGAAAAGGAAATTAGTAAAATTGACAAACTATGCCATTTTTATCATCAAACAAGCACACAAACGGCGACTCTCCATCTTTTATTTGTAGACCTTAGTCACATCTAAACGAAGCGATACGCTTCTTCTTTCCACATGAAAAAAACAAAGGATTGGCAAAATTAGACTAAAACTGTTTCCTTTTAATTATAATTTGGATGTCTTCAAAACTAGAGAAAATAAACTGAGATAACTAGAATCCTGAGATAGTGTGTTCATCTATGAATTTATTTGAATCTACCAATAGGTAAATGAATGGTTGGCATCATCCAGTATTTATTTAATAGAAATATACACTTCATAAAAACGTTTTCTAATCGTTTCTTCCAAACGGTATTTTTCTTAAAAGAATTTCTAATAGGTATCAGGCGAATAAAAGAGTGTCTCCTCACCAAATTACATATATACAACTTTTTATGTCATAAAACATTTTCTTTAACTCTATAAGTAAAATCTATGTCAATAAAAAAATATGAAAAATGACTATGATAATTTCCTTTCACTACAAATTATATGAATAAATTGGCTCTTAAAATTCTTAATAAATAATAAACAATTTCTTGTCACTAAAATTGGTATTGTTACTGAAATTTAATAAAACAATCCAAACCTTTACTAAAAACAAGAAATTGAATTATATGAAATCATAAATAAAAGAAGAAGGTTTCTCTTTTAGTACCAGTTATTTTGGTTACTGAGATATTTTTAAAGTAATTTAATTCAATCCATATATTTTTAACGGTAAGCCATATTAAACTTATTGTTTAAAATTTGTCTACAAACAACAGCTTATTCATAGAATATAAATCATCTGCCTCATAATGGGTATTATCGTAAGTAGAAATGTTATATCAAACCATTTCTATACTATTGACTTAATTTTTGTTTCCCTCACTTTTCATTTCTCGATAAACACACTCCAACTTCCAAACTGTAGCTGACATAATTTTACTGGCAATAGGATAAGATACTTTAACGTTTTATAATCATTTCAGATTTTCTTTAAAATATTACTTATTCTTCAAAATAAGCTAATAGCAGATACAATATAAGCAAGATATAAGCGAGTGAATACATGAAGAGATTTTCTTTGAAAGCTTGAAGCAATTGGATTATAACTGTTCTGTTATTTAAGTCCTTTGTACGCTTTTATTAGAAACGCGAAAGTCATTAAATGTTATATTTATGGTAAAATTTAAATTTGCTTTATTACAAAGTTAACACTGTGACGAATTTTAAAGTGACTTAAAGTAAACAACACAAGAGTCCCTTAGTTACTTACAAAATGATATATATATATATATATATATATATATATATATATAGGTAATGGTAGATAAATAAATATCATGAAATATATAGAAAGCGAAATTTTGTCAAAGGACTTAATAAGGATTTAATAATTTCCCAACAAATTCCTTTGTAAGATATTACGATACTTTGTAAGATAATACGTACTTTTATGTCATATCAAGGTTTCCAGATTAAAATGTTATTTTTATTATTTTAATAACTATAAACTTATGCTTATAAAATAGTTATTTAAGTTACATATTAAACAATATTAATACTAAAGTTTTGAGTTATGACTAAAAATAATTATAACTTTCTTACGTCTATATATTCCTCAATAATTAAGACATCTCATGAGTATGTAAAAAAAAACTCATAAATTATCAACATATCTCAGTTTTAAGTAATCTGTTTCTAATAGAATATAGCACCAACATCACTCAAGTTTCAAACATATCACTCTCACAAACAAACAACCTTCACACATTCAAATACTCTCATACAGTCAATTTGTCTAATTTCATTTTTAGTGCGAATAAAGTAATCACACAGTACGTCCGTATTGCATTTTTTACTAATGACCATCAAATATATAAAGACCTTATAGCATCAAACACTTTTAAATATAATCATTGATTAATAAGTTCATAACGAATAAACAGTGGTTTTATTATAAAATAAGGACGGAAGAATATTGCTGCACTTATGTATCGTAATATTGGTACGTCTTTCGTTATCAAATACGCTGTAAGTCATTCTAAAATAGGGCGTAGGGCTTGACATTTGCTTACATCGTGATAATGCAAGCTTCATGGTCAGGTCACAGAAACAATACTTTTGATAAAATAATATAATTTCCGAAATATTGCCTCTCTAAAACTAAACTAAACTCTCTCTCTCTCTGTTTTTTCACTAAATATTTTATAGAGTAAACTAGAAGACCCGGCGAACTTCGTATCGCTCTATAATCAAGAAATATCTGTTACGTTTTTTTATTTATATTTTTGGAGTTTACCTTTAAACCATAAATCTCCGTGTTTTGAAGTGCGACAGAATGATTGACATATTAGTTAGTTGTCAAATCTAATGTCAAAAAAGTTTCTATGGGAAATAGAAAAGGGATGTTTTTAGGGTTTTCCCCGAAATGAACCTCCACGAATATTTCAAGTCTAAGATAAGACAAATCCGTTCAGCCGTTCTCGAGTTTTAGTGAGACTAAGGAACAGCAATTAATTTTTATCTCATACATATATTATAGTCGCAATTTCCTTTCCATATTTTCCATTTCACCCATCAACACAAAATGAATCCAGGATCGCATCTGTTCCTCATGATAAAATTAACTAAATAATAGAACAGTTGTAATAAAAAAATAAATTCCTGCTTCCTCGGAGCGTTGGTGAGGAAGAAAGGGTAAATATTTGATAGTGATGAGAAATTATCGATGTTTCAACCAAAAAAAATTATATATATATATATATATATATATATATTATATGTTACAAATAATAATAAATAAAATAAGATTTAATATAGAACGATTATAGTATAGGTGTGTAAAAAAATATATATTATTAATCCCTACTAATATTATAAATGCGAAAGTAACTCTGTCTGTCTGTCTGTTACGCTTTCACGCTTAAGCCACTGAACTGATTTTAATGAAATTTGGTACAGACATAGAGTTGACCTTGAGAAAGAACATAGGATAGTTTATACCCCAGACTTTTGAAAGGTTCTCTTTAATTCCACGCGGGCGAAGCTGCGGGCGGAGAGCTAGTATGTTTATTAAAAATTGTGTTACATATACAAAGGTATCAAAATACCCTCAATTCTATACATTAAAGTAATATGCTAAAACCATACAAATAATGTTTTTTGAGTAAACTTAATCTGTACAAGTTGTACACCATCGATATCTGAGGTCGATACGGAAGCAACATTTCCATGTAAAAAAGGTACAACAAAAATTTACAGACGGCAAACACATTACACCTTCAAAACATCTGTTCATTTGATTAAAGTAGAGAAGCAAATTCTTGGCCAATTTCATTTAAATAAATATTAATATTATATATTAAGTAATATGTAATATGTATATATGTATTATGGCTTCATTTAACCAACATTTTTTCTTAACAATTAATTGTCACGCGTAGATGTTGCATCCCCAAAGGTCAGCCAGTAAATACATTTTTTATCCAAAGAATTTCCATATTCTTAGTAAATTCTTGTACAAGTTCTTCTCGTTCGTGTTAAAGAAATTTATATGAGAATCGTGTTATTTTTTTTGTACCTACATATATATATTAAAAATTCATAACCGGAACTGGATTCAAATATTGTATTGTGTAATGCTGAGTAGACGCTGCGAGGGTTAGGCCCTGTTTGTTTTTAGATAGAAGCGAGTTGGACGATCAGTTGGTCGATCAGTTGGACGATCAGTTGGTCGATCAGTTGGTCGACCAGTTGGACGATCAGTTGGTCGACCAGTTGGACGATCAGTTGGTCGATCAGTTGGACGATCAGTTGGTCGATCAGTTGGTCGATCAGTTGGTCGATCAGTTGGTCGATCAGTTGGTCGATCAGTTGGTCGATCAGTTGGTCGATCAGTTGGTCGATCAGTTGGTCGATCAGTTGGTCGACCAGTTGGTCGACCAGTTGGTCGACCAGTTGCTCGATCAGTTGGTCGACCAGTTGGTCGACCAGTTGGTCGATCAGTTGGTCGATCAGTTGGTCGACCAGTTGGACGATCAGTTGGTCGATCAGTTGGTCGATCAGTTGGTCGACCAGTTGGTCGACCAGTTGGACGATCAGTTGGTCGATCAGTTGGTCGATCAGTTGGTCGATCAGTTGGTCGACCAGTTGGACGATCAGTTGGTCGACCAGTTGGTCTATCAGTTGGACGATCAGTTGCCCAACCAGTTGGTCGATCAATTGGTCGATTGAATGAAAATCTTATAATACTGCGATCTCTTTGAAAATCAATGAATTAATTTGCCGACTAGTAACCGAAACGTCGGGATCATCCCTACTAATTTTATAAGCAAAAGTAACTCTGTCTGTCTGTGACGCTTTCACGCCTAAACCACTGAACTGATTTTAATGAAATTTGATACAGAGATAGAGTTGACCTTGAGAAAGAACGTAGGAAATTTTTCATCCTAGACTTTTGAAAGGTTCTCTTGGAAACACGATGTAACCGAACTCCACGCGAGCGAAGCTGCGGGCGGAAAGCTAGTATAATATATAGAATTCTTACAAATATCAAATTGTCATCCATATGTCATTACGTATCATACGTCATTATATCATTATACGTCAATTACATAGCTGTCAATTGCGTTTTGTTACTCCAGGTCTGATTATGTTTTTATAGAGTAAATATATTGTCTAAATTTTTATTTTCGGTAGAAGATTTTCATGTTTTATTTTATCCTTCAAAATGTATTAATTTTTATAACAAGCTGGTCAATTAATCATACTTTTTTTTGTGAAAATAATAATTACTAAAATTGTTATAACTTAAGAGTAAATAAGGAAGAACACAGAGCTGATGTGAGGCACATGTATCTAAACAATTTAAGAAAATATAATACGATTGACAGATTTTTTTAAATTTAAGTTTACAAAACTGACTTACAACTAGTGTATACAAAATAAAATCTAAGCTAAACAGAGTGTTGTTAAGTTACAGTCTTCTGGATGTCAACCTAGCATGCTTTAAAAAAACATATACCTTGCTTAGTTAACAAGAACAGTACTTGTGTAATTACTGACTAGTTAATTATTTGATTATTACATAAAATAATGTGTTTTGTTTTAAGTTTTGTGTTATTTTTAAGAGAACCAGCAGATTTACTGAAGACATCTAGGTGTTGACGACTACAATTCGCAAGCGAGCAAATACGGAAAATTGGTGAAAGGAGATCTTTCTTTTTGGCCTTTTTTAAAAGTGCCGGCCAACAAAAAAAAATGGTATATATTTGTAGAACTAACCATTTGGAACAATAGTTAATATGGCGCAAAAGTTGTAGGATCCAAGATATAGAAGTTATACAAGTTTCAAGATTCATCATTTTGGTACTTTATTTTTTTCTGAAAGTGCCAGGAAACATAAAATAATGATTGATATTGCTAGAGTTAAGCTTCTCAAGCAAATCATAGCCATAATATGTTAGAAACCTGTCGTTTTTATGTAATACTAGCGAACCCGACAGACGTTGTTCCGCCAAGTATCTGAACGCATGCAACACATTTCTTGATGATTTTATTATTTGTCTAACCTAATATGTATATCGGGGTGCCATTTTTATATATTAAAAAAATGGGCCTAGAAGCACTTTTAACTGATTTTGTACCATTTCATGTCGGATTTGATCATATGACGCGAGAGCAAGCGGCGCAGAGCATGTACATAACCGCATGACTCCAGATTTTCTATAGCATCTCTAAAACCACGGTCTAATATAAAAATGTCACCAGGCCGGTAAAACCAGTGAAATACATTATTCAGTGCATCATTTAAAATCTGGGCATCGGTAAATAGTAATCGGTAAAAGTAAATGAAAGTGAATCCAAAGTAGATACCGAATCGAAGCGTTAAACGTGTCCGCAAATTATCCGTTTCATTGAAGTGGTCCTTTGTAAACCACATTTTTTGTTTTTTGGTCTAACTTTAACACAAAGCGGATGGTTTCCAAACTCGTGAACACGCAAAATATAACGCCCATGTGAAAAACAATGTTTTCTAAATTTATCCCGTACATACAAAATGGTTTTAAGAGTTCAAACTACAAACAAAATACCGGTTTGTCACATGAAATTAACTGAGCAGAGAACAATGAGTAGCTGTCAACCAATGTATTATGCACCGGCACCATTTACTTAAAATATTGATTTACTTAAAATATTATGGCGCTGTATGTGAAAAAAGATTTTCCCGCTTTTCTGTTGAAATTTTTTGTTATAAACCTCACGGAGCCCGAGACTTTTCCAACGAATGCAAAACCGTGGAAAAGTTCTGAAGTTATAGCGTCAGGATGGAAAACCGGACTTATTTTTATATAGCACATCTCTTACAAATATCTAATTGACATTCTTACGTCATTACATATCTGTCATTATACGTCAATGGCATAGCTATCAATTGTGTTTCGTTATTCCACGTTTTATAGTGACTGACGTTTCATGTCAAGTTCCACGGGAATGCTGTCGAACGGGATAAAAAGTATCCTATTGCAATTTCCTGGTTCTAAACTACCTCCCTGCCAGTTTTCAGCTAAATCGGTTCTGCCGTTTTTGAGTTATAAGTGGAGTAACTAACACGACTTTCTTTTATATATATAGATTATATGAGTATACAAATTAAATACATATAAGATAAAGATGTGTTCGATCGCCTTTATTTCGTTCTTCTTATGAAAGTAAATGATTTAATTAAAAATGACATTCGATTTATATTTCACATGCAATTTAATGTAAAAAAAGTGATAAAAAGTGATAAACTCATCCGGTTTCCATAATATTTTATGATGGAATTAATAATAATTGATATCATTGAAAAATATAGAGGAGTAAGACGAACAAACAATATTAATTTAAATTATTACTGTGTAATATAAAAATTATGAGGTCACCTGAATTATATTAAATAAATTTCAGTCGAGATTACTGAATGAACTAGAAGATTGATGGACAAACCGCAACTTAATTATATAGTAACTAATTGATACTCTTACTTTTCTCAGTCATACTTTGATGACGATAATTTTATATGTTACTTACACACAAGCTGCAATTTTTTTTTTGATATTATATGTCTAAAATATTAAAAAGATATTGTATAAATAAAGAAATGGAAAAAACATACTTCTAACGTAATGTTTTTCTTTCTATAAATATTGCTAAAAATCACTGTAATTAAATATTTTTCACAATTCTATTCCATTCTGGTCAGAAAACTTCTCACAATGACTTTCCCGAATTGTTTGTCTCCATTGTATTATTTTTGCTCCTTTCTTATTTTTTAAATACCAATTCAACTTTCACTTTCTTCACAAAACTTTTGGACAGTAATCCAATCTTGAGGATGAATGCTGTCTACTACATACGTAGTATTAATATAATTTGTTTATGAAGAATAATCACGTTTTAATATTCGCCGACTTTTTCAATACAATACAATACGACTTCAATTCCATAAACAATTTAAGATCGAAGGGCGGCTATTCTAGTAAATAGAATTAAATAAATATTTCAAGATATTTCCTAAGAGAGATATCGTGATTTGATCTAATAACGGTTATTTACGGATTTGATCTAATAAATATAACATCTTCATTATTCTTTGTAGCTTTGTCTTAACATTGTTAATTATACTGGGTTAAAAAAACTGTGGCTAATATATTTTATTATTGGAGTTTTTACATAAATCCTGTATTATATTCGATTATATGTTGTAAAAAAATATTAAAGATATTCCTGCGTATGTCCATGTCATGTTATTTCAGACTTATTTATATATTTATTTGTTCAGATGATTTTGTTTATTTTTGATTAACTAATTTATTTTAACTAACAGTAACTGTATTAGCTACAATTGTAATTGACAGTTAAAAATTGTAATTAAATAAAATTGTAAACATTAAATTTAAATAGAAAAATGCCTTTTTTGTCGTTGGTATCCTTATATAAAAATGTAAATTTTGGAAATTTAACTTACAGAAACAATATCAATTTTGGGCTACGATTGCCATTGACAGTTATAAAAATTTTAGTTCTCATTAGTTATTCAACTGTTTCTTTTTGTAGTGACATGATAAAATAAAGAAACAATTGTAAGTGAATATTTTTCACCTACGAATATTTTTCTTTTTTTTTTTAAGAGAAACCGTTGCTTAAGGTTAGTAAGATTATTTATATCGGTTTATCTTTGTTCTAATTTAACAGAACCATACAACAAATTTTTAATATCCCAAAGGCGGGATCATTAATGTTTTAGTACACGTATCTGTAACAACAGTAATATGTTTTAAATTGAAAGTAAACAATACATTCAAACCTAAAATTCCACCGATAAAAGATTTAAATCAACATTGTAATCTCCCTATGCAATCAATTTAAATTCATGACTGTTGAATATTTATGACACCCAGTGAGCCCAAATATTTTTTATTCAAATTGTACAAAGACATGTTTGAATTTCAACATATTAATTTCATTCTATATCGAACTCGGAATCGGTTGGTGGAATTGTATTATAACATTAGAAAAAGAAATATAAGTAACAGACGTTGAAATTAGGAAAATTGAAGAAAAGAAGAAAATGTGTAATCACTTAAAGCTTTCAGAACTTCATTGTGTTTTTGTAACATGAACTAACATTTTGACAGTCAAATTCAAAAAATCGACAGTCTTTTGTTTCAAAATAAGGTTTTTTTTATGGTTTTGAATATGGAAACAAGTGGCGGAGAAGAAATATTTCATATACTTAACTTTTTGTACAATAAATATGTACGTTTTAGGTTGAGAAGTCTTTCATGTAATATCTTTAGACGTTGTTGATGTCTATATATATAAACAGTTTTTACAGTCTAAATAACGAAGCTATTGTATTTACTTCAATATACAATATAACAAAATGTGATATCAAAATTCAAATATAAGAATTCAGGATTAAGAACGTTTCTTTATTAAACTATAAATTACTTGCTATTAAAACTTCCAACAAATTATTACAAATTCTATTGTTATAAATGATATTATTTTATCAAACGCTAAATTTCTTTTAAGTCTTTAACATTAAACATGACTGGAATGTATAAAGAAATATTTATGAAATTTCCAAGTTTAATTTCCTTTACCTGTAAAGTGAAAATACATATTTCTCGAATAACGTCAATTTTCTTTTTTTGTTTCTAGATATTTACTAGAAATATATTTATAAA